AACCCCTCTTCCCCAACACATTTTCTGCTACTTTCTGACCCAGCCCAACACTAGAGCTGAAATGTGAGAGGAGGATGCATGGGCTGCTTTCTCAGGCAGAGGCAGGCAATCAATGCCTCCTGACTCGTGTATCCTTTACCTGCAGTGTTTAGCCAAAAGTAACTGGAAACTAGTGCGTGTGTATATAAAAAAATTTCCCCTCCTCATCTGTAGATCACTATATATTGCTTCACAATCTCTCAAATCTTTTTTTCCTTTTGCCTTAATCTTGGTATACTTGAAATCTTTTTACATTTAACTGTATATTCATTTTCCTGTTATATAGAGCTTTAGCTCAAGAAATCCTCCGAGTATATGATCTTTTATTTTCTCCTCTCTATTTTTTCTTCCTTTCCAATCTATATTGCACCTTTAATCTTACCTACTCCATCTAGAAACGGTTTACTAGTAAAGATGGAGAACTGCTGCTTCCCTCTAATACTGTGAAAATAAATTGCCCTCAAACAAAAACAAAAAATGCCATTCCAATGGCAAACCTGTTTCTGCACTTAGTGTCATCATCAGGAGGCTGCATAGTGAGGGAGTGCCTGGTTCTCAAATTACACAAAATAGAGTGATGAAGACATTATTATCAACCGGCCTAATAACTTTTTTTTGCTGCCAAAACAGCCCTGACCTTTTGAGCCATGGACCCCACTAGATCTCTGAAGGTATGCTATGATATTAGGCCATCAATAAGAAAAACTTTAAGTCCTAGTGGGTTTTTCCAGCACATCCCATAGATGCTCAATTGGATTGAGATCTGGAGAATTTAGAGGCCAAGTCAACACCTCAAACTTGTTGTGTTCCTCAAACAATTCTTGAACCATTTCTGCAGTGTGGCAGCATATATTATCCTGCTGAAAGAGGCTAGGTCAGCAACAATGTTTAGGTAGGTGGTACGTGTCAAAATAAAATCCACAGGAATGGCAGAAGGTTTCCCAGCAGAACATTGCCCAAAGCATCACACTGCCTCTGCTGTCGTGCCTTCTTCCTATAGTGCATCCAGGTGCCATCTCTTTCCCAGCTTAGTGACACACACCTCTGGCCTTTCACATGATGTAAAAAGAAAACATGATTCATCAATGCTTTTATGGAAGTGCTTCTGGCTTGTACCAGATAAAAGAATTTCACCCACCTTATGTGTATACCACCACATTCAGTGACAGTTTCAGAATGTAGAGACTGAGAAAGGCTTGCAGATAACTGAAATCAAAGGTAGTGTAAAGCTGGCCATACACTGGTAGATCTCAGTGCGAACATTCATATGAAAAATCTCATCAGAACATTTAATATTGCCATCAGAGACTTGTAGAATGTTGTTCGAAATCTCATTTGATTTTAACGTTTGATTTTTCAAGGAATAAAGTTTTCCCAAACGAAAATGACATTCAGTGTTAGTTTGTTCGAGAAACATTTTCCATCCCGCTCTATATATATATATATATATTTATTTTTTATTTCATCACTGCGATTTAAAGCGATCGTCATCCATTTAATTCTATTATCTATTAGAAAATCAATGTTATGCAGAAAACACAAACATTTTTAGACAGAATTCTACTGGTGTATGTCCAGGCTATACATGCTTTGAATTTCATCCGGTTCTTGATGAACTGGCCAAAATTTGCTGCATGGGTGCCAAAAGCTGCACCCTTCCGCCTGGCATCCCTCGATCAACTGATCAAAGGAGCATGTAGAAAAATTCTCAGCTGAATGGAGCTAGCAGCCAATCAGCTCCGAATACAAAGGAAACGGCGGGGGATTTGTCCATCAATGCTTGTAAGTGTTGATGGAGGAATCGGTTAAATTTTTTTGCTCAGCCCGCAGGTTGACCGACTTTAGCCTCACCCTGCTTTAGCCTCACACAACCTATATCATGTTGCTCCAGATCCTCCATATTCATTCCTTCCTGCCTGGAATCTTCCTGTGAAAAGTGTTTACTTAACCCATTTCCATCACGAATACTACATACACATTGAAATGAAAAGTTGGGGGAAAAGATAAGCCTTTTGAATGAACGGAAAGTTCCTAATTATTTGAACTGGCAAAACATTGCCTATTTCTTGTTCTTCGTATTTCGTTGTGGTTATTGCTGATCTAGTCTTATGTTTTCTGCCTGCACATCGTCCTCTTTTCCTTTTGCTCTTAAATCTGGCCTGCTTTCATTTTCTGGAAACCCATGTGGAACTGCATGTCCATGTAGGATTGTCTTGTCACCAGGATAACAACACTGAGTGAACAGTGTTGTCACCCTATTACAGAAAGTGTAAGATCACCATCTCGTTCAGGATCAACAGGTAATATAACTATGTTACGGGGGGAAATGGGGGAGCTTTAAAACTCTGCTGTGTTAATGCTAGTGACAGACTGCATCATATATTTCATTTTTGCTAGTGCCCATAATTCAACTTTAAAAATGTAGAAAAACTTCTTTAGCTCCTGTTAATTGTCATTTACAATAGTGTATTTAATTTAGTGAACCATTACTGTTCATTTATGACGTAATAGTTTGTATAGTATATAGTTTTAAAAGCATCATTGTTTCTACTTTGTGCTAGCTACTAGTGTCTCCGACGGTGATTACTGTAAACATGGCAACAAATATTAGTCATTTCCAAATGAACACAATCATATAGAATAAATGATTTGCTGTGTGTGTCTAATCTACTTCATGTCTTGCTTTGAAGATTTTAACCTCTAAATCTGGGAGCTCTGCCAGCACTTCTGTCTGGAAAGACTTGTTAAAATTTGCTAAAAAATCCAAATCAGTATTAAATCTGAATTTATTGGCCCATATTAACTGTGTTCCAGGCTGGCACAGGTGTTTCATGGTTTCCAGTAGTTGGTCCAGACAGGTATGGTGGTAGACTACATCTGCCGCAAGAATATAATCGTACGTACAAGGGATTTTAGGGTATTTTGATTCAAGGTCTTGTCCCCACACCAGTTCTTTCACTTCTGGCATATGCAAACAGCGTCCTCTTGTGTTTCTCACCAAGTTAAATCTTAGATTGCCAAGCACATCGGGCACGTCAGTTGCTAACACGTGAGCTCCTAGAAGAGGAAATTGGTATCATACTGTACTGTACAAGTGTTAGTGTGTTTTGAAGCAAGAAAATTGGTTAAAGTGTGAATATATATATATATATATATATATAAATCTCATCTGTCGTTAGTATAAGCACACCGAATAGTTAATCAGTCACAGACCTAAGATGCATGCAACAATCGATACCAGTCCTGTTCCAGAGCCGATTTCAAGAACCTTCTTGTTTCTCAAATCAAATTCATCTTGGTTTTCTTCCAAGAAGTAACATAATGCCTTGGCCTGCAAAAGACGAGTAGCAGGTGAATACACCTCAGTTCATCGGAAAATGACTGTACATCATTAATGTGACTGTCTGGGCAAAATAAAAAAAATAAAATTCAGTACATCACTTTAATGCAAACACTTTCCACATAATCAAGTATAGATAAATACCTGTTGATCCAGCAAGAAATGCAGTTTGCTCCTAACTTCCTGTATATTCTGCCATATTTAAATCACAAGCAGTGTAACCAGTTCCCCTATGTGGTCTACCCAACATCTATCACATATTTTATAGAGGAGGTGGTGTTCTGTAGTTCAACAGAAGAGAACTGGGCAGGGCTGACAACACTACTTTGGATTTCAGTGCAGCAGAGGGCCATGAAGGTGATTGGAACCAGGGGCGTCCCGAGGCTGGGTGACACCCGGAGCGGTGTCCAAGTGTCCCCCCGCCGAGACGTCACCGTGCATGCGCGTGACGTCACCACGCACGTGCGGAAGTATTCTGATACCTGCCGGCGGCCATCTTGGTGATGGACGCCGGCAGAGAGAGGAGGAGACAGCCACCCGGCAGGATAAGGTATGCCGCCAGGTCCCCTCTTCTCTCCTGATACTGTCGTGCGTTCGGTCCATGACCGAGCGCCCGACTTTTCAGAGGGGGGGTGACACCAAAATGACTAAGTCATTTTGGTGTCACCCCTCCAATGG